TTATTTTTTCTTGTGGGGAGAGAGAAGGCAGCAAATAGGAGGAAAGCCCTCTCCATCTGAGATAGGTAACAGGGATCCCCAAACATGCACAGTCCATATGCATTGCCACAACAAAGAACCAATCCGATGGAAACTTAGCCAATCTGACATGAAATGACCTACAGCTCATTAGCAAAGTGCCTTTCCAAATCTCAAAATGCCCACACAAACAGCCACAAATATATTTGGTGCTATCTGGCCTCCATCTCCGCAAAGCACAAAGATTCAGACTGTACAGCCTTTCACCAAAAGCAGTAAGAAAAACGGAGGCAACTCCAATACTAAAACAAGTCGAGGACAAGCCCTTCCAGCTACTCTCCAAACCTACAAGAGAGAAGAGCAGAAAGCTCCAGAAAAATGGTCTTATTTGAGATGCCTGTGCAGCAGCTTCAACAAAAGTGTCCTAATTGTGTTGTTTTAGAAACAAATCACCTGCTTTACCCAGAGCCCGCCGGCCTTGCCTATGGCTCCATGGATGTTCATGATACCGTCTGGAAGCACTTGTGTTCAGCTAATGCCTCTAGAAGGGGGCACCTTGCTGACACATTCCACCCAGATTCTTACCCAACCCACCCAAGAAAGGATTTGTTAATGAGAAACCAACCTAGCTGAAAATGATCTACTTATATGTGCTTTACTCAGCAGCTGGTCCTTCAGCCAGCGCATAGGAGATCTCTGAACTGTACTGTTCAGTCTCATCTGTACAGCAAAATCTGCATATTCTCTTCATTACAGAAAGAATTGAAGACAACAACTTTAGGCTCTGATGTCCTCACCACTGATGTAAAGCATCAATACATTTAGAGTTACCAAACAGGCTGTGCTTTCAGGGTTTGGATAAATGGGAGCTTTCACCCTAAACACAAGTTAGTCATTAGAAACTCCAGGAGGTAGTTTAAATTATCGCAGCCAGCACAAAAATAGTTTTACTTTGGGAGTTGAAAGTTGCAAAGCTATAATAAATCCAAGTAGCACAGTAAAACTTCTTATAAAAGCTTAAAATTAGTCGTGAAGCCCCAGATGGCCTTGCATATAATTTGATTCTATCGTGGGCTAGCAAAAGGGAAACCATTCTTTACAATGTAAAAAAAAGACCCAAAAACTCTATCACCCTTCAGCTCCTAGGAGACAGAAGAGGTAGGCTTACATTTTGTGCCTATATATTTGTGTAAAATACATAGAAATAATAAATATATAACTAAAATTTAAAAACCACACAGCTAACAATGACTTGTTTAAACCCCACTGTGCTGGGCAGCTATCAATCATTTATCTGAGCTCTAACTGGAGCACTGCAATCCAAACCTCTCCCGCCTGCTGTACCCTCATGGATACCCTGCACCCACCCCCCACTCCCAGAGTAAATTGCCTTCCACCGCATGGAAGCACTCCTGCTATTCTGATACTGGCATTTGCCACCAGAGCAAGAGATCCTAATTTAGCCCCGCACGGGCCTTCTGCAAACTGCTAATCCCCTGTACACAGCTGTTTTTCAAATGTACGGGCATGAGCAAACCATAAACGATTTATGGCGCGTGGCAGGAAGACTCCTAGCTCTCTGCGTAGGCGGGGTTTTGGGACAAGATCATGCTTGGACTAATGTTTATATTGCAAGTTGTCAGTCAGGTAGTAAATCATCTCCAGAGCTGCACAGTAATACAGCTCTCCCCGTCCAGCTGGGGCCTCGATGACATTGAATTCCGTTATAGCCATTTCAGATACACCTGGATCCTGTTTGCAAAGGCATCATCTAATCAAGGAAAAATGGGTACACTTATAAAGTAGACTCTACCAAAATTCTGCAGCCCAGCAAGGGTGATTTGCTTTCAGGAATCAATCCAAACTGCTACGAGATATTTGCCAAAAACGACACTCCGTGCTAGTCCTAGAAGAAATTGGATTGAGTGCCTACACAGACATTTACTATCAGAGTGTATCACCAGCAAAATGCAGCTACCTGCGAAAACCCTTCTGAGCAAAGTTTTCATTTCCCAGTATTCACATAACCATAGTGCAAGCAATGCTTAGAAATTAAATAATAGAAGGCAAGTAAGTATATTTTGCATACTTTAGTGCAGGAGACACTTTCTACTCAGAAAAATAAAAGCACTTAAAGGCAGGATGTAAACTTGAAGTCCATTCTCAAGAAAGGTCACTTAAAACAATTCTAATTTTAAACAAATATCCTGTCATTTTCCACTATTTTCTTTTCTCCCATTTGAAAGGAATGTTCCCACAATACACTGGGTATGGATCTCCCACAGATAAAAGAGAAGGGGGAAGAGTTCTCAATAAGGAAAAAATAATACATAAAAATACACAAGAAAAACAGTAGAATTATCTGCAATCACTTTTCAGTTATGTGAGATACACTGAATTTCAAGTCATCTTCCTAGAATATTTTTAACCTTTCTGTTGGGCAGCAGCAGAGTCCTCACTAATGAACAGCAAAGCTGCAGGAAGAAATCTGATTTAGGAGACAGAGCAGCAAAGCATCTTTGGAAACTGTAGAAAGCTTCTGCAGCAAGACATATGCCAGTTACCCTGAGTAGCATATGCTAAAACAATGGTCAAAAGACTTACAGCCACAATGATTATCTAATTATTATCTTGGGAAAATAACCTACAGTCTTTTGAAACAAATACTATAAAGTAAAACTCGCCTAAGGCTTTTTATGAGCCTACGTGCAATTCCTCAATAGTCAGAGAAACCACCTCATCTGTCCCTTTTGATTTCAGATCCATTTGTGCATGAGTGTTACATTAATACAGGTGGACAACTGAGACCTAAAACACAAGAGTAAGAATATCCAGTTAGGACTCCTACAACATTGCCAAAGCCAGCTTTATCACAGAGACAAAATACAAATATAGAACTCAACTGAACACAGAGCAGTCACTGTGGGACTTCCAGTTCTGAATTTGCTGATTCTTAGAAATCAAAAATTTAAACCAGTTCTCTCTTGTCACCAGCAGCTGGTCAGATCCTCTGTGCCTAAAAACCAGTCTAACCCCTGCAGGAAACCTTACTTTCCAATCCTGACCATTTCACTTTCTCAGCAGCACAAAACTTTTAGTTTTGTGAACATCACTAACCCTTTACTCATAGCTGTTAGGCCTGCCACAAAAGGTTTAAGTTTTACCCTAAAGCACATGTTGTTCCCAGAAAAGCCCACAGGGAGAGTATCCAGGGATCTTCAGCTTTGCACAACCTGCTCCTAGCTCTGAAAATCTCCACACACACTCTTTCCTTTAGGAGTTCCCCCTGCATTTAGCCATACATTACAAAAACACACCTTTTTATATACATTTCCATGCCAGTGCCACTACCTTTATTGGCCTATGCATCAAACTGAATTTATACCTACTTGATCAAGCAGCACTGACGATTTTCCTGATCTACAGATTGGACATGAGCAGAGGACACAGACTGTGTCTTCACAGACTTGAGTACATCGAGGTTCATGCTACAACTAACTAGAACTCACCTGAACAGTCTTAAAGCCCTGCCTTCCAGTCACCTTCCAAAGTCCACTACAAGACTGCAACGTGGAGAGGCCAAACTCCACACATTCTTTTCCCTTTTATGAGCAAAGGCAAGAAGCAGAAAGCACTTTGCCTGAGCGCTCAGCATGAAGAGACAACAGCTACATGTCTTCACATTCATCAGTAAGACAGCTCTCACTATGGACTGCACTATCTTTCCCAGAACCCTGCTCTTCATCAGCTTAAAATCCTCCAGTACCAAGTCTAACCAGAGCACCTGGAGTGCTTTGTGGATTTGTTGTTTGGCTGGTGGCTTTTGATTTTTTCCCCTAATGCAGTTATCACAAAGGCAAGGTCAGTGAGCAACCCAATATAGCAAATAAGTGTGATTCAACACCTTGCCCCTGAGACAGGCCAATACATAAAGGCGGTTTAGCAGATGGAGCGAGAAGCCTTAGTGGAAAATTATGGAACACACTGCCCTTTCTTCAAATCTTTAACTGTTAAGAGATTGGGCTATGTCTGAAAAAATATACCTTCTAAAACAAGTTCTTTAGCTAAAGCAAGTCTGAACATTTCCACTCATAAATGCTTGATCTTTTCTGAATCCTGCTCAGCTCTTAGCCTGAGTGCTATTATGTGGTAGTGAATTTCCACAGATTAGACATCATGTGAAAATACTTTAAAATCATTATTCAGTTTGATGCCTATCAGTTTCACTGAATTGCATTCACCTCAACTGAAGAATACATTCCAGCTTCTTCACCTCTGCATAGAAGTCTTCCTCAGGCTTGGCACCCCGCAGTGTTGAAAAGCAGAGGAAAACCGAGCCCACCCAAGTGATGCTTATTCTACATTCCTACCATTGCAATGCTATTCTCACACTCCTACATGGCCTTCCACACCATTTCCTTCCTAAGCACAGCTCCCAGGAGGACACTCCCAAGAGGATGGCTCATGTAATTCCAAATATGAAACAGCCCCCAAGATGCTGGATTTGTCTGTGCATATGAGCTATAAAACCATACATGAACTTCCTGACAATGAAGAGAACAGCTTCCAAGTCTGGAACAAAGGAGCAAAAAAGAGAAAATATTAATTTAAATCAAAAAGATTCAGTGAGACAAGGTGTTACGTGAGAGAACACAAGCAAAAAGCTTATAGGAAAGGAAAAACTGTGAGGTCTCAGAGTGCCCACTTGCCTTAAACAAGGCAGGGTCTGACTTGCACTCTACAGCAATTTCACCACACGGGACAGTGGATCACACAGGGGTCTGCTTCATTATGAAGTCATGGCCTGAAATATCTTTTTCATCTCATGTCCACCAAGCTTTACTAAAGCATTCAACACCACAGTATCCAAGCATCTATACACTAATGGATTCATCCTCAAATCCCCAGTAAGATGGGCATTAATCATGTTTTCCAACCAAAGATAGCAGAACGAGAAACAGTAATGATCTGAACACACTCACACAGCAAATATGTTGCAGAAATTAGGTGGTGTTCTGACCACAGCGTCATCCTTCCCCTCCAACGAGCTGTAAAGATACTTCAATTTTGAAAAGTAGCACTCTTCCTACTACAGTTACAGACCCAGCCAATCTAGATCTAAGGAAAAGCCCTCAGGTAGGAGAACTGGCAGGGAAACAGGATGGAAGATTTCACGCCCTAAGGCATTAGCCCTGTTTGCATAGATTACACACATAGTTCCTCTGCAGTCCTGCGTAAAATGAATTTCAGAAAGGATCGTATTTACCCAGTAACTGGTGATTTGAAATACACACAGCTAACATAAATGCCAATGGGCATTCATTCTCTCCAAAGTTCAGGGTGTCACACAGAAGGGAGATATCTTCCCAACCAAAGCCTTCAAGCAAGGAGATGAATATATCCAGCTTCAGGACCTTAAATTTACTCTCAAAGCATTAACCGAGTCTAACAGTTGAGAAAATCTGCTCTATTATGACAATTCCAGTTCTCGATAAGCCCAGTTAAAGGAGCAGAGATGAGCTGAAAAGGTGTCAAGCCAGATTCTCATTTTTTAGCGTAGGAATCCTACCCTCAATCTGTATCACATGCAGGCTCATTTGAGACCTTTACATGTTGTATTTCTCCTAGCAACATGAAAGACAGAGAGTTATTAGCCACCACATTATTATTCTCACTCCATGCTGTAGAAGCAAGGCCCTTGATAACAAGTACACAATATGGTTATTTCGCCAGGATCTAACCTCCAGAACTATTTCTTAGGATGACAGTGTGATATGGTGAAACAAGGAAATCTCAGTCTAGTTTTCTGTGAATCCTCCATAAAACAGAGGAGACGTTTTAACAGGTTAGGCAGCTCACCTTCAGAAAAATAATCAGCCTTCAGGACTCACAAGCATCAAATCCACTTCAAACAACCACGAAAAAATACAGTTGCATTTTACTAAAACTTGTTTATTTTGCTACTGTTCAAACAGTCTTCTTCACTTTTTTAAAAGTACTTCATAGGCCACAGCAGGTGCCACAAACCCTTTCTCCAAGCCAGCTCTGGTACCGTTCAGGCCAGCACGCTGACCAAAAATCATTCATTGCATCTGACTTGATTAGTTCTGCTCTGGGACAAAAAGCAGGCAGACTTGCAGAGGAGTACACCTCTTTCAAGGCTATTGTCTATTTCCCCTACATGCTACACCACATGATTGTATTTAGAGTGGATGGCGGAGATAAGAATTCAGGTTTGTTGGCTGCAAAGCAAGTGACTTAGCAGGAGCCAACAAACAACTTGAAACAGACTGGAAAAGCACGCAAGGTCATCTTTAGTTCAGAAACCTGGTTTGAAGAGGCAACAGGTCTTGGCATGCAACTCATCGCCTCCTGACCCAATGTCTTGTTAATATTAAAGATGAAGATAGCCATGGGCTGCACTTTGGAACTCTGCTGGCCCTGCTAAAATGCATTCCCATGATTTCAAGAGCACTGGGTGCCTCAGAAGGAATGAAAACCCAAAAGCTCCTGATACCACAGCTAAAACCTGGTAGCTTAAATGCAGATTTAACACCCAGAAACTAAATCACACTGTATGCCACACACTGCTGAGATATATGTGCCTTCTGCAGTGATTCACTAGAAGGTGAAGAAAAGAGAAAGGAATTGTATTAAATGCGACTTGACAAGTAACAAAGGTATGATCCAAAGACCAACTGCTGGGTATCAAACAACTGCACCTCTAAACTGGATCTCAACAGTGAGTTTGGGAGAGGACAGAAAGGCCAGTAGTATATCTGCATCACCCATCAGGGAAACAGCTACAATACGGGTGGAAAAAACAATGTGGTGGAAGAAATAATGTGACAGAACAGACTGGAACCATCTAACTTTGACATCGCAATTATTGCAAGAGCAGGTTCATCAGGAAGGATTTCATTTGGATTATGGTTGGGTAGACCTCTTTTGGATTATATAGAGAGCATGGTTACTTCGGCACCAACAGAGCAGGATTTAGGCTGCTTCTCCAGGTGGCATGTAAAGAGCAGTGGCTTACAACTTTAACTGAACTTCTCTTCCCAGGTAGTCTTACTGAATTTCTCAGGGTCACTCCCATTTCACTGACACCCTGGCCTCTCAATTCTGCCAACACAGGCCTACTATGACACAGAGAACACCAGAGAGGGACAGTTTTTTAGGTATGCAGTTCACATATTCTCAAAAAATTCGAGTAGTGGGACCAAAAGCACGCAGTCTGACTCAGCATCAGCTCACTTCTGGCTTTCTTACCTGCTGTCTGATGCTTCAGCAAGGATTCATTGCTTCATCTTATGTAGGCCCTTTATCCCCGTTCCTTCTCTGAATCTGTAAAACAGAGATGCATACCTCTGAAAAGCTTTCACTGGCAAAGAACTATGTACATGTGATGGATGATTCTTTTCAGTGGACAACATCCACCTGGCATCTCTGATCCAGGTCACTCTCAGCCTTGCCAGACTTGCACATCATTTGCACACCCCAACACCTACCAATGCAACCTCCTGTCCACCTAAAAATCTGTGTATTAGCAGTGTTTTACTATGCTCCATGTAGAGTGCTCCAGCTTAGAGCTAGATGCAGTTCAGTATTTACTGTACACATGCGTTCCTTTAAAGTCTTTCTATGTTCCCAGAGGTTGATCACTAGTCCTACAGCAGGAAGCATCCCCTGCACTAGAGAGAATGTTCAGGCTGGTAGAGAATTTCCCATTAACCCCTGCTGAGCCTGACACCAGAGGAGTGCTGATTCTTCCCTTCCAGCCCTGCCTCTGCCAGTTATATTTTGGTTCTTTTAACACACGTGCTGGCCCAGACTTGTTCCACTTCGCAGTTCCTACTCCAGCAGCGCTCCCAGCACGTATACTGCCTTCTCACCCCCCACGCCCCCTAACTCCCCATCACCCAGACACGGCTACACCCTGCGTGGTCCAGGTCCCGCTTCCCTGCCCGCGCTGCTCCCTGACACAGGTCCCTCCCCGGGAGGGAGAGCTCCCTAATGCCCTGATGGCTGAGGAAGTGACTATCACCCTTCCCCACGGGGGCCGTCCCTTCCCCGCGTCCCAGGCTGTGGCCTCAGCGCCCTCCTGCACCCGGCCCCCGCCCCACCGGGCTGAGCCCTCCCCGTCCGCGGTACGACCCGCCCGGTCCCGCTGTCCTCGGGACACTGCACAATTCCTCGCCACACACGTGGGTAGGAAGGCATCCCCACCCCACCGCCCGAAGCCCGCCCGGGAAGGCCGGAGCGGCCCGGGGGCGCAGGGATCCCCGCCCGGGGCTCGGTCCCCAGCCGGTCGCGTTCGCCGCTCCCCGCCCCCGGAGCCCCAGCCCGGCTCTGACCCGGTTGGGCTCGGCTCCGCCGGGGGTCCCAGTGACTTTGCGGCCTGTTCGGCCCCGGATCGGCCCCGCCTCGGGCCCGCCCCAAACTTTGCCCCCGCCCGGCCCCGGCCCCACTCTCTCGCCTCAGGCCGCCATTTTGCTGCGGGGCACGCCGGGTAATCCGGCGGAATCCCCACGCCGCGGCGCGCCTGCGTCATCGGGCGGCACGCGCGGGGGGCGGGGCCGGGCAGAGCGCGCGTCTAGCAGTCCTGGCAGCGCGAGGGGCGAAGGGGCGGGTGTCGCGTGGCAGTGCCGGGGTGGGCTCGTGCCGCTGCCCACGTGCCCAAACTGCAGGGTCCAGGACCGGCTCCTGCCCCTTCCCACGTACCCCGGGTTCGGAGAAACACCTTGAGGGGGCGGGGGGACAGAACCTTCCAGTGTCAGGGCGAGGGCCCAGGATCAGCTCCTGCCCCTTCATACGTGCCCCTAGTTCCAATGTCCATGATCAGCTCCTGCCCCTTCCTATGTGCCCCGGTTCTGAGAAACACCCTGACGGCCTGGGGCGTATCCCAGCCTGTCACTAGGGAAGTATCCCAACCGTAGGGCCAGGGAAGGAGAGGGAGAGAAAGGAGGAGAGTAGTAAATGGAAAAATCTACCCAAAAGCCCCCAAGGACAACTATCTGCTTCTTAAAGGAGAGGAGCTGAGGACAGCGTGTACCTGTCAAAAGCTAGTCAAACCCTGACACAATTTGGGAATGTGCTTTAATATTTATTTGCAAAATCTTCCACTATATTTTTCTAATCTTGGAACTTTGGAAAGTCAATGCATTTTAATTTTGAAATCAAATCAATCCATTTATTCCATTCGGAGCTCAGCCGGGTACTTCTTCCATTGCTTCTCGTGCCTGGTGCATAGACTTACCTCTGCTTCTATCCTTTCTTTCACAAACATCTCATGAATAGATTATACACACAGAAATAATGGAGTCTAGTCCAGAGGGAATTTGTCCAGTCAAAAGAAGTCCCAATAGTATTTGTATGACGTTCTTCAGTGTACTACTACATTAGCAAAGCCTTCAGATTTGCATTCAGGTAGTACCAGCCTCACAGCATTGCAAACTCTGCCCAAATGGTCCCCTCTCTTACACAATAAAAGACAGGTGCCCAGCAGGACCCCAGTTCCATGACCTTGGGAATATTGTGCAGAAACGTCTGCTGTGCACCCAGCAAGTGCCGTCTGCACCACACCACACGTCAGCCAGGGATATTTCAAGAAAGCCTTCGGTACTTGTGCCCCCATAAATTCTCCAAATCCTCCCTGTGCCGGAGTCAGATAACAAGCAGAAGGACAATGGCTCCAAGAATCCAGGCTGCCCATCTGCTCTGCACTTCCAGATTCTTGCTTCCACAGCACCAGCTGATGAAATTTTCATAGCTGATAAGGTTTCTCATTTCCACCGGGCCTTGCTGCCTTGGAGCCTTCACAGTTGTGGCCCGTTCAGGTTTCCGTGGGTGCACACCGATGGCAGCAATCATGAGAGTACTTTGCTTTCTTTTGGTGACTTGTCGGAGTAGGATCTTCAAGCTTTTTGCAAGCCTAGGTGAAATAAGCCCTGCAGGAAGGAGAGCTGGATTTTCAGATGGTCTTGTCATTCACTGCTTCCATTAAACTCAGCTCTTCTCAAAATCAGATCCCAAGGTCAGACTGCCAAAGGGAGACAGGAACTGGACTCGAGCTGGCTGAGCAGTAGTCACCTGCTCTGAGCACTGAAAAACACTCTTTCCTCAGATCCCAAAGGCCTTGATTCCCAATCCTTCTCCCTCTCTGCATACATCTACCCTGCCTTTCCCTATATCCGGTATGCTTGTGAGCTGGACTCACCACTGCTCTGAGCCCAGAGATGTGGCATGATGAGGAAGCATGACGTTAGGTTACATTATATTCATTTATATAACACCATTAATACCAAAGTGCAGCTCCCTGCTAGAGCCAGTTGCTCGCTAAAGCCTCTGAAGTTCAATTAACAAGCACCAGGTAATCTAACACTTGACTCCCAACAATCCTTTTATTTTAAGGGGCCTCTGGCGGATGTAAAGCCCTCAGCAAACAGTCCTGGAAGTACATTTGAGATTCTCTCAAATAACAGCTGAATTTATAACCCTTAGTGGAGAGCAGAGAGGAATCTCTTCAAAATACTTTCCAGCCAGCAGCACTTTATATAGACCCTTGTAACTGAATAAAAGGAACCCCTGGAGGGGCAGGTGCCACCCTGTGGAGGGACAAATCCCTCTTAAGTGCCTGCAGTCTTGGCTAGTGAAAAAGCAGATGCCAGAATTAATGTCGCCCCACCAGAAGAAGGCAGTGCAGGCTTGGTCCTCTCAAGTTTCCCACCAAACCAGGTCAAGCAGGGAAGATGGTGGGTGCTGGACCACCCCTTGGTGGCTGCCTTGGAGGCTGTCACCTGCCAGAGAGTTGCATCAAGTCCCATTTTCTCCAGCTTGGATGCTGCAGTGCTGAAGGGATACACTTAGGAAACACTTGCCTCCTCCACTACTTCTCTAACTCCAGCTGCACAGAGGATTCCCCTGTAGACCTCAGCTGGGAAACCCTCAGAGGCTGAGCCCACCAAAACCAAAAAACTTGAGACTTATTTTGAGCAGAATTTTCACTCTGGGATATGCCAGCACAAGAGGAACTCAGCACCCAAAACTAACAGCATTTCAGGAACAATAAGATCAGTGAAACACAGCCAGCCTGAGACAGTCAAACAAGTCTGTGGATGCCGAATTGGACAGCCAAATACATCCTGCCAGTATGCCTGGAGCATACACCTACCAGAAAAATACACCCCACCAATAAAACAGTTGCTAACAACATACCCACGTGTATAATTCAGTCCATACCACTACATAAGAGTGAGGGTTGGGGCTTAATTTTAAGCTGAATTGAGATGCCATACTCGAAAAAACCTTGGAGTCTTTTCACAAGCAAACTCTTTGCTGTCAGGATCCCCAGCATCAGTGGCTGAAGAACAGAACTGTGCTGATCCATCCCAACCCAAAGTGCTGTTTGTCTTATGGGACTGCCTAAAGGCACCCATCATGGTTGGGATGTAATTGTGCTGGGCACTGCACAGAAAAACAAGCAGACACAATATCCTGCCCCCGAGGCTTGAATCTCTGAACCTCTTGAATCTCTCTCAAAGCCTCTCTGGCAATACAGAATGGAAGACAAAGGCAGAACTGGAGAAAAACAACAGAAGCCCACCATTGCAGTACCCTGGCACTTGGCATGGCTGGGTGTTTTCATGCCATCACAGGGTTTGAGCAGGGCATGATGCGCAGCTCACACTGGTATTTCTGACATACGTGGGGGCACTTTTCCCCCAACCTGCATACTTGAAGAACACACTACACATCAACTTGCCCACTACAATTGCTGCCTCTGCATGTTTTGTGTATTTATAAATGAATATGTATAAAAATAGAATAAAATAAATATATATCAGTGACCCCTACTGGCCATTTCTAACTAGCCACAAAACTGTGCAGCAAACAGTGAGCTCTTACCTCTTTCCCTGGTACAGCATTTCCATGTGGGGCAGGGAGCACAGGGCCTGGCAGTGGTGGATTTGCACTCACTTTGTGCCAGCTGCATCACTCCTGGGAGCAGGCAGCTGAAATTGGGTTTTCTGACCTCAAGTATTTGGTTGTGGCATCCCACTCATTTCTCTGCTCACCGCCAGCTCCATGCCACAATCCCAGCTCTTGCATTGAGCCCTGCACAGGTGCCTCCAGCTTTCACTCTGCATGGCTCTGTGACCTTACACAGTGTATTCTTCTAGAAAAATTCAGTTCCCAGCTGGAATCTACATCACAGATACCACTGCTCCTTCAGGTGAGCTCCCTGCAGAAGGAGCTGCCCCAGCATTGCACAGTTTCTACTCTCAACAGCCTTGCCTGAGCCCCATCAACACTCACTGTAAAGCCTTCGCCCCAATGGGTGCTAAATCCAGTATAAATGCTGCCATGAAACAGAAACTGAAGGGCCCTCCCATGACAGTGACTTGCCCTGGTGAAGGCGTGTAGAGAATATGCCTGACAGGCAGGATGGCTGCTCTAATGCAAGCAAAACCCCATGGGAAGCAAAAGCTGGAGTCACTGTGTCAGCCTCAGACCAAGACTCAAGGGGCTCTGCCTCCCTTCTCCTTTGTCAAAACTTGTTTAGCTTGTCATGCTAATACAGTGTTTGAAATAAACTGAGTTCAAAGTATGTGGACAGGAAGGGGGAAGATGTCTGACTGGAGCACATGGGGAGGTGGCGGAGGGGTTAGGTGTGACACTGGCTTTCTTCCACGTGTGCAGGCAGATGGGGCTTCATCCAGGTTTGAGCAGAGCGTTCACCCGTGTGCAAGGGGAGGACACAACACACTGGGGTGTTGGGGTTGGCACTTCACTACAGTACACAAATGGGGAGGGAGGTAGCTGCCCCCCCCAAGTCCTCTGAGGGCAGAGCAGGGACTTGCAGACTCTTTCAGGTAAAGGCACATAGCTGTGTGCTGTCTCTCGAGGAGCCCTTCTGCATGCCCAGCATACGCCTCCAACTCACACAGACATATTTTTTCTTGTGAAATCTGCAGCACTGCTCTCCCAGAGCAGCTCTCGTTGTTTATAGGGACGGGTCCAGGCAGGCCAGGGAGGAATTACCTTTCTCTAGGACACGCTTGGTGCTTGGCTGAGCACACTGCTTCTCTGCTTCACGGGAGCTGCTGAAGGCCAAGGAGACAGTCAGTCTGCAATTAGCCTCCCCCCCAACACTCGTCCACATCCCCTGGGGCTGTTAATTACGGACTCTTCTGTAGCCAGGGTTCAACTCTTTCTAAGCATAGGCCATAGTTTCGTAAAATGACCTTGAAATTCTCTACAACAGGCTTGCCTGCCAGGTTTCACTGCAAACACCAAGATATGCCAACCTCTGTAAATACCCAGGAGCAAGCTCAGAGGCAAGC